TACCTCATCCATGGAATATAATTATGCAAACTGGTTGCTTTGCTTTAATGGAATCAGTTTACTATTACCAGGTATTATTAAATTATTAGGGTACTTCTATCTGTAGATTTGTATACCCAGAAAAAAACAAAGTGATTTTTTTGGCCAGTCTGGAAAATATTCTATTTAAAACTGTTACCATAAAATCTGTATTAGAAGCCGCATCCTTAATAGAATTCGCTCCCATTCTTTTTGAACAATTTGGAACCAAAAATTCATCATTTCTCATATGTGTAGATGCTCTAATAGAAGCTGTATCCCCTCTGTTGCATTGTACCATTTCAATAGAAGTCGCGGATTATAATACAAATTCTACAGTACTGTTAAAAATCATACATTTATTACTAACTGGTTTATGTTACATTGCTGTAACCTTAAAAGTTAGTTCAAAACCACAAATCTGTGGCTGTTTGTAATGAGTGCATATGAAGAATTCTTTTTGTAATTTCCACACAAGAAAATCAGAGTCTTAAAAGCACTACCCAAAATTTGCCTCCAGCGAGAGTTCCATCTTTTTGACCTTATGACCTGTAGAAGTTAATCACCTTGACTTCCTACATCATTCTTTTCAAAACCAACACTGCTGAAGTATATGTCACAAAATGAGTTAAAAAGAATGCTTTTAGACAAATTCGATAAAAGTGTCAACTACTGAGGTAGTTATATTCAGTGGATGAATGGAAGATTTTAGCACTTGTTTAACATTTAACACCTTGCTCTTAATTCACAATGACACTGATTCTCAGGTTTGTCCATGTGCTCTTAATAAAACAAATCAGTATTTGCTCTATTAGAAGCGCAATCTCTAATAGATATAGATGTGCATATAAACGCAAATGGTATTTATTGCTCACTGAATTTTTATTATGACTTTTTTTTTTTTATCCTAGAAACACTTCTGACATTTACATAAGTATGTTGTACATGCTTGGCTAATAGAGCAAATACGATACTCACATTTTCTGTGTTCTGTTTGTAACTGCAAATATCTTCAGAAGTCAATCAACCATACCAATTGCTCTTGCTACTTTAAATATTTATTTCTTTTAATTGCAATATTACATAATTTCCTGTGTAAAATCATAGACCTTAGAAAACAAGGTCTACATGTATGGTAAAATGTTGTGTCAAATTGACTGACGATTACTGAATATTGTGCACCTAAGCCACTGTTTGTACCACTGAATAGCCAGCATAATTGAGACACTTTACAAACTGTGAACTGTAAAGGTATTAATTATTCACCGTGTTTTATTTTCGCTGATAAGTAAAATCTGTTGAATCAAAATCATCATGAAAATTTAAAATAGCAGTAGAACTCACTGTTTCTCTGCCAAAATGGGTGAATTTAAAACCTTGTGAAAAGGCTCAAATATCAATATAGTCAAATGAAAATGCAGTGAAAATAATTGGTTTTATAGTACTCTATTATATAGCATTGATCATATTTGTAAAAAAAAAGTGCTTAAAACTATTTAAATGCATACTCATTGGCTGTATATGTGTAGACAATTATTAGTCTGTCGTCTGTCCATCATACTTCATGGTCATTAATCTTGAAGAATACTCATTAATTATTTAATTTTTGTAATTATTTTTTTGATGTATTGATGATGATGTGTTTTGATTTCAGATTACTAAGTACTGCGTTGATGTAATATAAAGTAGTACACAATGCCTGCAGTGAAAGGAGATGGAATGAGAGGCCTTGCCGTCTTCATTTCCGATATAAGAAACTGTAAGTCAAGTAATCATAGCTTCTCCATTAATTTATATCAACAGTAAGCTATTTGTTCTA